GCGTCGGGGATGGCTGGCGGGGCATCGGGCAGAGCGAGACGAATGCTCTGTGAGTGGGGTTGGTTGGCTGAGGTGCTGGGCGATGCAAGGGCGGGGCGAGGGGCTGATCCGGCGCGGGAGGATCTGGGAGTCGCTCGGGTGGGGAGCACAAAATTGTCGCTGGAGGTCGGGGCCCGGCCAGGGGCAGGGGTGGCGCGCGTTGAGGCGTGATGGGTTGGTGAGGCGATGTCGGCTTGGGGGTTGGTGAGGGAGCGCAGGGTTTGAAACTTGCGCATGGTGGTGATGATGGCTTGGTAATGTTTGGTCGGAGTGACGAGGAGGCCGAGGATGCTGGCACTTTCGCTGTCTCTGACAAAGGTGCATGTGTCTGGGAGGAGAAAAGCTTCGCTGGGCGGGGGTATGGAGTCAGGGCCAGTCACGTTGACGGCCTCTGCTGTGGAGCTCGTGGAGGGGACAGCAAGGCTGCTATGGGAAACCAAGGACATGGTGTCAAGTGGCTGCGGCCCGGAGGAGGGCTGCTGTTGCAGGGGTGGTGAGGGTGGTCTCGAAACGCCGTGCCCATCCAGGGCCTTTGGCGCCTGTTGGACAGCCTGCATGGGGCTCGGGGCTTGGGGCCCACAAGGGGCAGGCAGCGAGGGCTGATTTGATGGTCGTGAACAACAGCCGGGTCGGTCTCTACGGCAAAGACGCTGCCTTGGTCAATTTTTTTTTCCTTCTTTTCAGTCACCTCGGCAAAGTCGTCGTCGTGGTCACCACGGTGGTGGCGGTGATGTGGTGGTGGTGGTGGTGGTGGTGACCAAGGGGTTGGTTCAAAAGATCAGCTGGGGGCGGGGAATGAAGCAGCGGCGGTTGTCAAAGCCACAAACAGCTGTGATATGGCCACTCGAGGAAGGGGAAAAAGAGGAAGGGGGGGGGAAGGGGGGGATGAGGGCAGAGCAGCTGGTTCATGCGTTCAGCTCATGAGATGACGATAATGTCGTTGATCAAAGGGGCAACGATGCAAACTGCAAAGTGGGTCGCTGCCCGGCCAGTCGGTCGACAAGGCGCGACGAGCGGTGGCGACAGAGAGAGAGAGAGAGAGAGAGAGAGAGACGCAGTCCACACAGCCACAGAGCCAACCAGAGAGGGCAGACTGGCTGTGCGGGGGGGGGGTAAAACCCGAGTCGAGGTCTTGGTGAAATGAAGTCGTCGTGACCCGTGTGTGTGTGCGTATGTGCAGGCCGCTGACAGAGAGAGAGAGAGAGAGAGAGAGAGAGAGAGAGAGAGAGAGAGAGAGAGAGAGAGAGAGAGAGAGAGAGAGAGAGAGAGAGAGAGAGAGAAAGAGAGAGAGAGAGAGAGAGAGAGAGAGAGAGAGAGAGAGAGAGAGAGAGAGAGAGAGCCAGACAGAGAGCCAGACAGAGACTAGAATTTTACAGATCGAGAGAGAGAGTGAGACGCAATGCATAGGGCATCAACACCACAGACAGTGTCCTAAGGTCCTCACGTCCTAAGGTTGGTTTAAGAGGTTTAAGGACTAAGGGACCAGGACTAAAGGGACCAAGGGCCAAGGGGCTCAGGTCAGTCGTCGCGGGGTGCGTAGAAAAATGGGTTGGGTGCTTGACGATCGCACCATAGGGTTCTCCTTTGTACCCTTATTCTTTTTGTTTCTTTTGTTCTGTTTGTTTGTTTCTTTTGTGTTTCTTTTGTTTTTCACAAGAGGTCGGGGGAAGAGGGGGGAGGGATGAAGAGAGAGGGGTCGGGTGGGGATGAGAATGGGGTGTATCTGCCTGAAAAGTCCTATTGATGGCAGAGATGGAGCGGACATGAAGAGTCCAAGTCAGAGCCAAGACCAGGCATGGGATGACTGAAACGTACCCCTTTGGCTGGTATGGACGGCGACGGGCAGGTGCACATGGTCAAGTCGGCGGTGGCGGCGGCGGCGTTGAGGTCGCTCGCTGGGTCGAAGAAGAAGAGGAGGAGGAGGAAGAAGAGGAGTGCTGTGGCTGGGCCTGCCGACAGGTTCCGGGGGGGTTAGCGTCAAGGGTCTAGCTTGATAAAACCTTGAATCCAGTCAGAGCACGACGGCGAGCAAGTGTGGGAATCACATTACATTCACAATTCCAGATGAAACATGCTCCATATGCGTGATACCCGTGTGTGTCTGTGTGTGTGGCGTCGTGGCGTCGTGGCGTGTGGTGGAGTGTCCTTCCAATGTGTTGTGTCCGTGCCCGGCCCGTGCTGTGTGTGTGTGTGTGTGTGTGTGTGTGTGTGTGTGTGTGTGTGTGTGTGTGTGTGTGTGTGTGTGTGTGTGTGTTCCCGTGAAGGGTTGGCAAGCTGTCCCTAACCCCAATTGACCTTGTCTCAAACTCGGACACTCCCCGAGTGGTATCGGTAGGGCTTGCAAGGCTAGGTAGGGGTCACAAGGCGGCGGCAGACGATCCCCCTTGCCCGCTCGACGCCAGCGGGTGTGTGCTTGACCAATGCCCTTGGCTTGACCAATGAATGCCTTTGGCGTTGTCTCCATCTCCTCGCTCTGCCGTTTCTGCAGCGCATCGAATGTGTGTATCATCGTTGGCTCGCGCGACGAGCTCGTTGATTTCGATTCACAAAACGCATGCGTGACGCCCGCCAAGTACTACTACTACTACTACTACTACGACCACTACATCATCCCGCGAGTCCGACACACGTTGCAGCCATTCCCGCCTCAACCACTCCACGTTGGTTCCCAGCTCGGTGAATCAAACTCACATGTCAATGGCGCGAGGTGCTGCCTTTTTGTTTTGAATCGGTTGCATCATGGAGATGAGAAGCACATGCACTGCGGTCGCATCCTGTCCACTCGCTCAACGGCGCACAGAGAGAGACAGACAGTGAGATCGAGCACGTCACACGGTGACGAAGTGATGGCTTTGGTGTGCGTTGGCGCTCACGACACTCATCTGACCCGCCCACCAGGGCACCAGCATGCAGCCCATTGGTGCATGCCCTTGTCGATGTTAATCAAAGGCGGTGCAGGACGTGACTGGCTGATGTTAACTTGCATCACAGCACTCGGCCGTCATTGGAAAACGCACCATTCAACCAGTCCTGGCTCTTTCTCATCCCGTCATCCGAATTCATCATCACCACCACCATCATCATCGGCTTTGTCGGCGGCTTGGCCGGCTTTATCATCGTCAATCAATGCGCACATGGCCCTGGCCACATGGCCGCCGAGCTCCCTCTTCTCTCGTTCCTCGACTCTTGACAGCCAAGGCACCAACTCAACGGACCTCGGGACCAGGCACCCTGAGAGATCACGCAGCAGTGCGCAGCCCGGCCGGCACAGCACGGCGCAACGCACCTGACGATGACGTCTCGACTTGGCCTGTCGGGGGTCGAGAGCGAGAGAGAGACGGAACGGGGCAGCCGTGGCTCTCTTAGCTGTAGCTTAAGGGCCAAGCAGAGATCGTGCTCGGGCATCGTGCTCCCCCTATAAAGGGGTAAGCGTGGTTGAGTCGCAGTTAAAGGCCTCAGTGGTGTTGTTCTGGTCACAAGCGGTAAAGTGCAAGGGTGAAGCCGGTGGAACTGATGAAACACTCCATCAGGTTTACATACAGGTCATGGCGACCCACACGACTTTGGCGACTTCGTACCCCCTCATGGGTGATACACCTTACATTCTAGGACAACTGTAACATGGCCCAAAACCACACCTGCCTGTTTTGTTTGGCTGACATGCTGATAAATACATCGACTGTTCTCTCTGACATATCAATCTGACATGTTCATCTGACATTATTGTCTGACAACAGCTTGTGCGTCTTTGACGTCCGTTTCTTCTTCTTCTACTTCTTCTTCTTCTTCTGTTTCTTCTTCAGTTTCGGCTACTTCTTCAAAAGCACAACAACTCTACATTGTTCTGCATTTGCTCTTGCTTTTGAATACGTTGTGTCGCCTTGCTTGGCGATATAAGTCTGCATCTTCTTCAACCATAGCCTCGTTAACCGTCTTTTAAGTGTGCCCTCCCCTGACCCGAAACGGCAGCGCAGCGCTCGACCTGGGGCCCCTCCTCCTCCTCCCTACGTATGGGGTTGGCACGCCGCTTGGTTCAAACGGCCAAACGCTCCCTCAACGGCTGGGAAGCGTGCATCCTTAGGGCTGGGCTGCCTTGTCCGCGGACCGGCGACCAGACGTGTGATCATCAAACCGTCACGAACCTCTGATGGGAAAAAGACAAGCCGTTCCCTCACTTGTTCCCAAATCAGGCGCCTCACACATGAACGCCCGCTTCACCACACTTGTGCGGTTATGATAAGCTTATTCAACCAGGAAAGCGTCACACATGCCTGCTCAACAGCTCACACAAACACGTAACACTCGAAAGACAACGGATGGCGCCGAGGTCGCAAGCACGGGCGGGGGCGGTCTTCTACGCCCCCGCGCCGCGGTGTGCGCCCTGATTCATCCCTCACCGTACGGGCACACTCGGGGAAACGGATGCTATGATGACGATCCCTCTGCTTATGAGGGATTCACACACACCCACACACACACACGCGCGTGCGCGCATTTATCGTTTTTGCTGCACTAACTCAGTGACACCTGCGACGACGGCACACACACACACACACACACTCTCTCTCTCTATCGCGCGCGCGCACAGTTTCTCTCTCATTTTTCTAATCAGACGAGGGACACACACACTCACTCACCCTCTCACTCTGTCTCCACCGCTCACTTGTACTCGGTCAGATCATCCCATTGCCCCGGTCATCGCCGACGCCGACGCCGACACATCGAGGCACTGCCAGTTTATCTCTTTTTTTTTTCTGTGTGAGACCTCTGCTGCTCCCGACTCGACAGCATGGCGCCCGCCAATCAGATTTTGGTGCTGAACCTGGCCAAGGACTACGTGCACGACTGTATCCCCGTGGCTGCGGCCTGTGTGAAGCGCCTTGGTACCAAGCTCGGGGCCGAGGTCGTCGTGTCTGAGACGGCAGAGCCTTACTTTGATACTATCGAAGAACTGGGCAAGTTCAACGTGCTCGTCTTCAACTCCAACTCGGGTGAGCTCTTCAACAACACACAAAAGGCCGTCTTTGAAGAATACGTTCGTGGTGGCTACGGCAGCCTCCTCGGCCTCCACTCTGCCACCGCCGCCTTCCTCTCGGGTGCCGACGCCTCGGGTGCCACCGTCATGGCCACCACCTACCCCTTTTTCGCCGACACCTGGGGCGCCTCCTTCACCGACCACCCCCCGATTCAGGATGGCGTCGTCTACACCGACCGCGAAGCCTGCACCGCAGTCGGTCTCGACCTCCCCACCTCCTACCCCACCTCGGACGAGTGGTACAACTTTGATCGCAACCCCACTGAAAACGATAAAATCTCCATCCTTGCCTTTGCCGACGTCTCCAAGATCACTGGCGTACGTCATTTCCCCCCTCTCGCATTGCCAATCGGAATGAAGTAAAGAACGCAGCTTCTTTGTGCCAACTCCCCTCACCAATTACCAATTGTGTACTTCCTCGTATGTGTTGTTGTTTTCTCCACCCGCAGAACAAAATGGGTGAGCATCACCCCCTGATCTGGTGCCACAAGGCCCTCGAAAAGACCCCGGTGTTCTACACGGCCCTGGGCCACCATGCCGAGGCTTACGAGTCGGATGAGACGGTGATTGAGATGGTTCGCGCCGGTCTCAAGTGGTGTCTCGACCAACAGGGCACCTCGGAACATGTGGCCCACTAAGCCACCCGTGAAGCTGGCGCCCCTACTCTGCTCGGAGTATACACATGGTAGCCGCGAGGCCCCTATTGTTCTCTGTCGATATTTTGTTCTTCTTTGACCTTTCTTTGCCCGTGATACGTGCAAATTTTCCGTGCGCGGTCAAGCGTGTTGGACGCCCTTGCGTGCCCCGCTTTCCGTGTGCTTGTTTGACTCTTTTTTTTTTTTTTGTGTGTGTGTGTATGAATGATGTTCCTTTAGCAGTGCGAAGCAGCATACACAGTGGACTTTGACAAAAATGTGTGATGCCTTGTCCACGGTTTTCTTCCCGACCCATTAGCTTTGGTGTGAAACGACCCGCCCGTGCCCGTTTCAAGGGCGTGGGCTCTAGTCAATCGACTTTGGCAAAACGCAAAAGTGTTCCCCTCTCGCCTTCAACTTTGCCCCGAACTTTGTTCCCATCCGATGTTAGTCATTACTTGTCTAGCACATGAAGATGGTTCATGCATTCATACAGGCTTCCTACCCGCATACGCATCTGGCACACCGGAGAGAGCTGCCGCATGAGAGCGTGGCTTGCAGCGCTTGGGATGTGGATCTGATATCAATTTTTTTTTTAATTTTTTTTTTTGAACAGCGATGCAAAGAGACATGAACGCCGAAACCCTGGATGGCCACTCATTAACCAAGAGGGGGCTCACGGCATCAACGCACGCATGTCAAAGGCACGCATGCACAAGAGTTGCTCGTTGGGAATGGGAAGCTGGACGGCACTTTATGCCACAGACATTAGCGAGCCAGAGTTCTTCCCTGAATCGAGCAGTGACCAAAAGCCAAGCCTGTCCTAAACGCGCGGCTGGTGGGCGAATATGATCTTGTGCTGTTAATTTTGTTGTCCATTTTATACATCCTCCTTCATCCTAGTTCTTGTTTAGCCAGAGATGGGCCAGGGTGGCGAGGGCTGCACCAGCCACGACGCCACCAAGGACGGCGGGCACGACCGAGCCCCGCGCAGCCAGGGGCTGTGGGTGCAGGGGGAAGACCTTTTGCACGGAGAGGGTGCTGCTGACGCGACCCATGGCTGGGACCAGGCGGGTAAAATGTTCACTGTTGGAGTGGCGCTCCAGATCGGCCACCGTCTTGTACTCTTCGAGGACAAAAAACTCAGTTTCGCTGCCCTCGATCTGACCAAAGGCGTAGTTGATGCAGCCGGGCTCGGCGCGGCTGGCCAGTTCCAGTTCCTTGACCATGGCCTTCCACTGGACTTGGTTGCGCCAAGGCACGGAAGCGCGGACGACGAGTTGGACGCGCTGGTCCCGGTGTGTCTCGGCAGTGGGCACGTGAGGGCGTGGGGTGGAGGTGGATTGAGCGGCTGGCTTGGGTGCCTCGGCCGCCTTGGCTTCGGTGGCCTCGTTCTTATCGCTGGAAGCTGTCTTGGCGGCATCGCCGCTCTTGCTGTCGCTGCTGCTGTGGGCCTTGTCCTGCTTTTTGGTGGTGAGCAGGGGGTGGAGCTCCTTCTTGCCATCAAAGTAAACGGCGATCCACTCGGCGAGGCGCAGGCCGAGGCGGCGGCAGGCATCCTTATCATACTGGTTGCGAGGCTGCTTGGCCACGACGGCACCGTAGTGGAGCGTGTGGATCTTGTCCACGTAGTCGGTGACACCAAAGACCATAAAGCCAAAGTTCATGAGCACGGCGTTCATGGCCATGCAGGTAATCTCGGCCCCACCGCCATGACCTGGCAGTCGAATAAGGGCAAGGAGGCGCAAGGACGGGGCGAGGGGCACAAGGGTCGTGAGCAGGGAGCCATGATGACTCATAAGCAGGATTCGAGCAGGCACGGGCAAAATAGGGCCAAGCTTACCGCCTTGGCTGGAGAAGGTGCAGCAAATCTTGCCATCGACCTTGTCCCAGTTCTCAGCGGCCCAGTCATCCCAGAACTTTTTCATGCGCCATGAGATGCCCTGCGCACCGCGAACGAGATTTTTTTTTTTTTTTTTTTCAAAAAGAAAAGGAGAAGAGAGACATAGGATGAGGAGATGATGCGTTGTCGAGTCACGATATGGTCAGTTGGGCAAAAAAAAAAATGCCTCGTCTCGCGTATCAATGGAGCAACAACTCACGCCGAGGTTGGTCGGCGTGCCCACGGCGAGGCCATCGGCCCACTTGACATCTTCCTGTATGTGCGCACGCCAGTCGTGAGCAAACGGACGCTCGCCCAGGCATCCAAAAACTATTGCCCATGACGATGACATGGACTTAACGACGTACGGGGGCTGAGGCGTCGTGGACGGAGCGCACGCGGATCTCCGTGTTGGGAATCTGCTTGGCGCCCTCCTCAATCAGCTTGGCCATCTGCTCCGTGCAGCCCGTCTGGCTCTCATACAAGATACAAAGCTTGCCCATGGTGGCGGTTCAAAAAAAAAAAGAAGAAGAAGAAGACGTCGTCTATCCAGCACACATGGGGCAACAAGTGAGGGGTCGGGCGCAAGACGCAGAGGCAGTGCGAAGCCATCCGCGCGCACAGCATGACCAAGGGAAGCTGGAGCTCTCCCCAACCGCACCTCCCCCCGCCCAAACTTACCCGATGTGAAGAAGAAGAAGAAGAAGAAGAGGAGATGCTATCCGGATCTATCATTCAAACGTCCACACGCCCACGTGTCGTAAAATGCCAGGCACACCTGCCAGTGAATGAGCCCAGCGCGCAGAGAGAGACAGAGAGACAGAGAGAGAGCGAGTCAGTAAGTCAGTGAGAGAGAGCTGCGCAGTCGTCAGAACACACACACACACACACACACACACATACAAAAGGGCGTGTGCACACTTACGCAGCAGTGCAAGCAGCAGTAGTAAAATACAAAAGAGAGACATAGGAAGTTTGTTGGGAGATACGTTGGGAGCCCTTTTTATGTGTGTGTGTGTTCTTCGCTTTGCTTTTTTGTTTTTTGAGAGCGAAGAATTCTTTTTTTCTTTCGCGCACGGTCTCTGCTCTCTCTCTCTCTCTCTCTCGCTCTTGGAAGGGACTGGAACTGTGGAGGCAGCAGGAGGTGTGTCGAACTAGGGTGCAGGACTTGGACCTGCGCGCCTGCATACGGGCTGCTAATCTTTCCAGTTGTCCGTCAACTGAACAAGTTCGATCGACAAAGCATGCGCGTAAGCAATCCTTTTCCTATGGCCATCTCTACTACAATTCAACTGGCTGCCATTTCACCCCCTCCCTCTCTCTCTCTCTCGAAATCTCTCTCTCTCTCTCTCTCTAAATCTCTCTCTCTCTCTCTCTCTCTAAATCTCTCTCTCTCTCTCTCTCTCTCTCTAAATCTCTCTCTTCTCTCTCTCTCTAAATCTCTCTATAACTAAATCTCTCTAAATCTCTCTCTCACACGCTGGAGCCCATTCAACGCACATTGTGTGCGTATACTGATGTGAACGAAGAACAAAAAAAAAGAAAGAATCAATAAAATAAACCCAACACCTTCAAAGTAAATGTGCTTACAATAGATGATCTGACATTTCTGCAAGAGGCACATTTTGAACCCGAAACCCGGAACACGGCACAAACGGACCATCGCCGGACCATCAGACGGACGGACGGAGGGCACAAACTGAGCTGGTGGTGCTTTGAGGATCACGTGGCAGTGTGGTGGGGTTGGGAGGCACGGAACGGTGCTAGCTGTGGGTGGAATCTTTTGGCTGGATGTTGGGTGGAGGCTTGTGACGAAAAGTCCTAGGCTAGGCCGGCGGGCACAGCGCGCTCACTTGCACTTGTCGTCGGTCTTCTCCTCATCCTCAACGACGTGATGGACAAGCCGTTGTATGCCGATGACGACGACGACAATGATGATGATGTCAAGACCGACATGACCAGTGGCGGTCGAGCCAGCGAAATCGGCTCACACCAGAGATCAACGTCCATCGACAAGGATTCACACGCGGTGGCTGGTGCAGAAGACGACGATGTGGCCATGGCTGCCTTTGACCCAGCTGCCATCCGACCTCATCTCTGGAAGCTCTATCTCTCACATGGCATGACCGCCTGGACCATGCGCATGTGGGAATTTGCCGTCGCCCTCATGCTCATGGCCGTCCGCCCCGACTCGATGCTCCTGCCCGCCGTCTACGACTTTATTCTCTCCCTGGCCGTGGCCATGAGCAGCTCCCTCATCGGTACGCCCCCCCTGTCCGCATGGCTCAACCCCCGCGCCTCGCTGCCTGCTCACGACAAAACCATTGGGCGCCCTTTTCCCTCTTCCTCGTCCCCTCTCAGGCCGTAGCGTCGATCTTCATCGCCGCCTCCCCACCGTGCAAATATCGCTGCTTCTCACTAAAATCGGCTTCGGCCTCGCCAGTCTTGTCGTCTTCTGGAGCCTTCGCGACCCCCAGAGCTCCTCCTCCATTGCCAACTCGGTCCTCATCATCTTCTTCACCACCATCGGCCACCTTGGGTATCCCACGTGCTGCCCGCGATCACGAGCCTCCCGGTCGTTTCGAGCACTCACCCCGACTGCCTGCACTCGACAGATACATGGGGAATCGCCTTGCCGTTGAAAAGGATTGGGTCGTTGCCGTGGTCGGTGCCGACGACCAGGTACTGCCCTTACCCTCCCCACCTTCCCCCACCCCCTGCTCTTGCAACATTTCTTCATCTCTTTCGATCCCCCCCCCCCAACTTCTGATAGCTCCTGACCAACACCAACGCCATCCTCCGGCGCATCGATCTCTCTTGCAAGCTTCTTGGCCCGGTGGTACGACACTCATTCTGAAAACATCGGGTGAAACCGATTTGACAACCGCACCCGTTCGCCGGCAACCGCCCAAGCTTGACTTGTTGGCCGCCCCCTCCCCCATGTAGATGGCCGGTGCCATCATGACCGGTGCGGGCATGCAAACGGGCGCTCTCGCCATTGCCCTCTGGAATTTTCTTTCCGCCTTTCCCGAATACACTCTTATCCTGCACGTCTACAAATCCTTCCCGGCCCTCGCCTTCAAGGCATCCCGAGCTGCCGATACCAAGCTCAAATCTCGCCTGGCCCTCTGCTTCTCCACCTTGACAGATCTCGCTGCCGGTTGGAAGGTGGGCTTTTTTGCATACCTCCCCTTGTCTTGCCGGAACATCCGCCCCAAGCTCCTTCACGCTTGGCACCGACCTTGCCACCTGCGCCTTCTCACCACTCACGCCCGAATGTTCACGTGTCTTGCAGGAATACGCAAATCAAGTGACCGTCCGCCCTGGTTTTGCCTTGGCATTTCTCTACGCTTCGGTCCTCCAGTAAGTTTCCCCACCTTCCCCGCCCAGAAAGCTTCAAATTGATCGTGCACAGGCTCATATGGAATCGTTCCACAATGCAGGATGGCTTCTGTCATGACTGCCTACGCCTATTACCGAGGCATGTCCGAGGTCGTGGTCGGCGTTTCCCGTGGCATCGGCGCGGCCTTTGGCATTTCGGCCACTGTTTGCTACCCCTTTTTCGTAAAACGGTAAGTGCAAGCAACAACCCCTGTTCTTCATCCCCAGAGTCGGCTTTGCTGTTTGATGACAAAGATCCTCATCCCGTGGCTGGCTAGATACGGCCTCGTCAAGACTGGCTTCATTGCCATCTGGACCCAGGTGCGTTCGTCTTCATGCTGGTTTGCTCAGCAGCTGCCAAAACCTCACTCTAGTCTCAACTTGGCCAGGTCATCCTCTTGACCATGAGTCTACTCTCCGTTCTGGTCACCGATGACTACTCTGGCAACTGCTCAGGTTATCCTGCATTGACTCTGCACGAATCACCGCGTCTCTCACTGACTTGAGACCACCCTGTGCCTCAGGCTCACACCTCGTCTGCGTTCCTTTTCATTGTGCTCCGCTTTCTTGAATTGAACAGATCTCTCTGGTCCCGAGCATCACACCTGCGTTCTGGACCGCAACCTGGAACTTGGACTCTTATTTGCTGGTTTGTCAATGTCATAACGGCATCTGCTTGTCTGAGAGGATATCCCAGTGCGAGGGAACGTTGCCCTCACCTTTCCTTGAATAGGCACCATTGCATGCCGTATTGGACTATGGGGTTACGACATGGCAGCCAGCCAAATGCTTCAGAAATTGTGAGCCTGCCTGACGTGGTCCTGGCACCCCTCTGCCACCTCTAGACCGCGCTCCTATACCCGATTCACCTTTGTGCTCTCATTATAGTGTACCGCCCACCTCGATCGGACGCATCAATGGAACGCAAGATGCCCTAAACACGCTCTTCAACATGGTTTCCCCGCTGATGGGCATTATCTTTCCGAAACCATCCAGCTTTTACATTATTGTCAGTGATGGCCCGCAACCACAGTTTGAATGCCGCACGGCTTGTATGCGCTCACGCAACTGTCGCTCACAATGCTGCCACCCGAAATGCTGCCACCCGACGATCCTTAGGTCATTGCCTCTTATGCCCTCGTTGGCTTTGGCGCCCTGCTCTACACCTCCTTTTACGTGGCTGTGCGCGACCGACGACTCATTCTACCAGAGCAACCCCTCCTTGGGTCTCAGACGCCGCCGATTGAACAAGCTCAGAGTAGTCTTGCACCACAGGCCACCCACGCCATCGACGACACTGATGATGAAGATCACAGTTCTAGTGAAGCAGATTCTGCGCCCTTGCTCATGCACTAGTGACTGCCTTCCCATATTAGAATTTAGACAGAGCTTTGAAGCCCCTTCTAGTTGAGTCTCTGGCCCTGATGGCTTTTTTTCTTCTGTTTTCTTTTTTTTTCTTTGTTGACACCTTCCGCCCTCGCGCGCTTCACAAACAAGAAATGACAGTCAGAGGCACGCATCAAAAATGATAAAGTGGGGTCTGAGCTAGGGGCGAACCAAGACCAGAATTGTAGTGTCAACATGGATTGCAGGCGTAGTTGGGTGCATGCATAAAGCTTTTGGCATGTACGAAGAAACCACCTCACCTCCTACACCACACCCTAAAAACGCCAAATAAATTACAAAATGCAACGGTGCTCCGAACAAGTTGATTGTGGCCGTCACACGGGCCCATAGCGCAGGACGCGGCTGGTGGGATAGCGGTCCAGCTGAGGGCAGCCACCCACAAGATACAGCTGCTCGTCGTGCACGACCGGATGGATGCCGTGCATGCCAAGCGGCATGGCCTGGCCGCGGCGCCAGGTGTTGGTGCGGGGGTTGTAGAGCTCAACCAAGTCAAATGTGCCCGTCTCCGTCAAGGGCAAATCGTCATCATCACTGGGAATGGCCTCGCCACCCATGATGTAAAATTCTCCCCCCAGGTATGCGGCTTTGCCCATGCCGGTGCGCGGTGTGGGGAGGGCAGGAATGTCGTCCACGGCCGACCAGAGCCAGGTATTACTGGCTGGATCGTAGATCTGTACGTCATCGTGGCCGTCCGTAACCTGGTTGCCGTTGACCCGGCCACCAAAGATGTACAGACGTTCACCATCGGTGCCGGCTGCGGCATGATGGACACCCTTGGGCATACTGGGCATGCTGTACCAGGTGTCCGTGCTTGGATGGTAGATGCCACAGGTAGAAATGGCCCTGGTATTCAAAAGACCGCCACACAAGTAGATGTAGTCGCCTATGGTGGCACTAGCTTGTGAGCCCTCGACCTGCCAAGGGATGGGTGCGCCCGTGCTCCATGAGTTGAGGGCTGGATCGTAGATCTGCGTCTTTTGGGCTGCGTTGCAGCCGGTGCAGTACTAAAAAGGCGAGTCGCGCGATTAGAATCAAGGCCCAATGAGATGAACCTTATCAAAAGGCGGAGCGGCACTGAGAACGGTTGCATGGGTGCCCGGCATGATCGGGCAGCCGTATGGGGGGCCCGCCACCATGACGCAACTCACTGTTTGACAACAAAGACCGGCAAAGGCGAAGAACCGGTCATTCCAGACGGCGACGGCCGAATGGTCCCCGGCATGGGGACGGCGCGCCAGCTTGTCCGGATCCATGAAGAGGCCGCTAGGCAAATCTAAAATGATGGTCTTGGTGTTGTCATTTGTGCCTAACTGACCATCGCCGATGCTGATGATTTGGCGGCGAATGACGGCAGCTCCAGTCTCGGTGATGGGGAAGGGCAGGGTGGGAAGCTCGTAGCTGGGGGTTGAAGTCCATGCATACGGTATGCATGTTTGATTTTGTGGAACCTCTGTTCGCTGGCAGCCCAATACCGTAGCAGGACTAGGGGCTGGGGGCGTGGGCACGTTGGGTGGCGGCGGTGGGGCAGGCGCACGGAAGGGACCTTGGCCAAGGCATACGCGCTGATAGTCAGAACAACAATCCTCGTATCCCAGGCAATCATCATCGCAATTACAGGTGGCCCCCTCTACATAGCTGTTGCAGCCGCGAGCCACGCACGACGCTTCGGGAGGTGGCGTGGATGATGGAACAGAGCTGGTGGAGGGTGGGGACGACGTGGTCGCCAAACACAGCGAGGCAAAATCAGTGCAGCAATCGCGATGGGTGGTGCAGCTGGCATCACATTGGCAGGGACGCCGATAGTCCCAAGGGCCACAACCTCCCAGTGCACAGCTGGACCAGCCCGCCGGCGTCTCCGCGAGGGGAGTCACGCGCACACAGGTCTTGTTTGCCGCACATTCAAGACCGTCGGCGCACCTACGAGCAGATGAGCAAGGAAAAACACAGAGAAAATCAATCAAGTGCACGGGTGAGGGCGAGAGGGAAGAGGTAGTGTGTTTCGGGTTTGTGTGTCTGTGTGTCGCTTGACAACAGCCTACACAAGGGAGAAGAAAGACGTACTCGGCCGCGTGACAGCCTAAACCACAGGTTTGTCCCTCATCCGGCAGTGCCAGGCAATGGCCTAAGGGAGGGTGTGCGTCGCATCAGCACCAGCATCAGCATCAGCAACAGACGATGGCTAGCGAGTTGATGAGTTGGCTTGCTTCATCGCCCCGAACCATCAACGTACCGGTCAAGGAGGAAGCGCAGGAAGCACAATACTGGCCGAGGTAGCAGTCCTTGTGGCTGTTTCAGGGTTATAGAGAGGAAGTGAAAAAGGGTGAATCGTCAATCAGCGAGGGTAGAGAATCGCAACGATGGATCATGTCAAAAGTGACAATTGGAGGGTATTCTTACGTTTGACACGTCTTGATCCCCGGCAGGCACACATTGTTGACACAGGTCAACCCTTCTACGCAGCTGAGAAGCAGAGAGATGAGAGATGAGATGAGGGGCCCCCATGGCGTAGAAAGTCCAGCTTTGCATTCTTACTCGTATTGGGCGCACGGCTGACTGACATCCAGACAAGCCTGATACAAGCCGGGTCGAAGTTGACAAGTATTGACCTCTGTTCCAACAGGGCAGCCCGCAGTCGAACTGCCCGCTGCGTATGTGTGGGAACAAAACAACAGTCGAAATCAGCAAGCATGTTGTATTGTAGCTTTGAGCGAGTCGTTGCAGGTGTGGGAACACACACACACACACACACACACACACACACACAGAGCGTACTAAAGCAGTAGTAATTGGGGTGACAGTCACCGTGGCTGCCACAGGCCTGAAGAGCAGGCACCGGCTCAAGCAGTGCCCAGCACGCGATCAAGCCAGCAAGAAAGCTTGATCGCACAGAAAGGCCCATTGCGATGTGACCAAAGACCAAGACGAGCAGCTGCGAATGTGGAAAAAAGCGAAAAACTGGGCATCGTTTCTCAGAGTGGGCAACATGCTCACCACCAAAAGGCCGACCCAGATCGACAACCAGCAAACAAGGAACGGTCGAGTGCCATCCATCGCATAGAGAGGCGCGCCAGGCGCGTGCCCGCTGCTATGTCGTCCATTTCGAATGCATGCATGCATGCACATAATGATCCCTGCCGTTTGTCAGATAGATTCTACATGTAAGTGTTTTACTTTTTTTTCTCCCTTTTGCTTTTTCAACTTTTGTTCTCCACCATGCCTGCTTTCCTATCCATCTGACTAAATCTCGAGATCTTGACATAGGGTGTGACGGCTGCACTTGATTGATGTCGATGTGCGCCAATGCTGACACGCACCCTGGTGTTGATCGACAAGGCGCGCACGACCCTCAAGGAGCGCCGCATACAAACACATTTACAAGGCAAGACTACGCACACTCGAAATGGGAGTCACCCCTGAAGACTCGAACCAGCGCATCTAATGACGAGACCACGACAGCAAAGGAAGAAGCAAAACATAGAGGACAGATCCTAACAAGGTAAGCCACAAAAGGCCTGGAAAAAAAAAATGGAAACGTCAAACGGCAACGCACGAGCATTGCAGCATGGGAAGAACAGAGAGCGAGAGAGAGAGAGAGAGAAGGAGCAAGAAAGGAGGAATTGAGTCGGCATGGACTTTGAAAAAAAAGGGTTGGATACAGTCCAACCCAGAGTTGAGACTCGTGACTTTCAGTTTGCTCAGATTTGCTGGTAGGTGGAAGAACGGCCCGTAAGCTTGGCCCACGTAAACTTGAAACCATCCTATGCGAGACAGAAAAAGAAAAGTCAGGCCAGCAGGACCGAAGAGACGCTGAGCATTTTTTTTTTGGCAACATCGCTGTGATTTCACGGTATGAGGCGGCAAACGCGCTGCAGCGTCGCCACAACTTACGGCAATCAGGCCAGGAAGCTCAGTCCAGAAGGTTTTGTTGGGGATCAGGTCCGATCCCGACTGCTGGTTCCGGACCTTTTGGAAGACGGCGCCGAGAATAAAGTAGGGAAGGAGAAGACCGCAAAAGAAGACAATGAGAATGATATCACCCAAGCTCAGACCCTTCTTCTTGCCACCCTCTGACGGGCTCTTGGTGGGCTTTGAAGTGGGACCGTTGGGGTTCTTGGTGGTGCTTGGACCGGGAGGGGAAGGCGGGGAAGGAGGAGAAGGTGGGGAAGGAGGGGAAGGAGGGCCCGGCGGCGGAGGCGGCGGGGCAGCTCCACAGCTAAAGGAGAACTCGGTCAGGGCACCACCGCCACCACACGTCTCAGAGTCATCGTCGCGGCATGGCTTGTCGCATTTGTCGCTCGTGTCACCCACGGGCGATGAAGTGGGACCGGGCGAGCACCAGCACTACATGCGGAATCAGACAGGTGTCGAGGGCGTCAGCGTCGACGATGCGGCGAAGAGCCGTGTGGCACACTGGGCAAAGCATCGCACCTCTTCGCCGTTCTCGTTGCCACCAACGTAGACGGATCCCTCCTCGAGGCCAAGCTTAAAGCAGTTTTTCGCACATTCCATTTGACTGCAGCCAGAAGCATGCACGTTGAGCAGACGAACCGATTGACCGGGCCGTTGCGCGTCAAAGTGTTGGAGGAGGCTGAGCAAACCGACCTGTAAGCATTGTCGGCTTGATTTTGGAGGGTTCGGGGTTGATCCTACGTGTATTTCAAGCATGAAAACCATATTATGTTATTGCTGAGCGTGGTGCAAGGGCCACCTGATGGTGCCAACTCGTCGGTGCAAAAAGACGCGAGCGTGGCCCAAGTGGTTCGACACCCAAATCCAACAGAAATAGGAAGCAGAGGAGAAACAAAGAGCAGAATGGGGTTTTTCTGACGGCAAGGCGGCCTCACCGGAAAGTAGTCGGCATAGCAGCCAAATGCTGCGGGGAAGAGGCGGGGGTGCGGAACCGAGGGAGAGGGGAATCAAGATGAATTACAGGACGGCGACTTGCGTCGGGGCATCACACCAGTTCGCCGTGGCCCGGACGCAGCTTCGTTGGATAAAGAATTGGTGCAGGCAGGCCTTTGTCGTGTGAAGGAACAACAACCCAGAAGTGGGTAGCGTACTTGTGATGATTTGGCAATCAGCATCCTGAATGGCGGCGCGGGCGATCACCGGGAGCCCGATCGCGACAACCGCGAGCAAAAAGGCCACGGAGCAACGCATGATGGCCAAGTATTTCCTTGATACCTGCAAGCATTCAAGCCGATTCAATCGGGATGAGACCTCAAGCGGCCGCACCGACGCAGGATCACTGGACACCCTGCGTGACCCGCTACACCCGCAAACTGGAGCAGACTGGAGGCCACTGTGAACAACAACAGCCCAGTGGTTGTTCAAGATCCCAAACAAGAAACCCGGCCCTCTCAGAGGCCCACACCCGCCCAGATCCCCCACCTTCCAAGCCCAACCCTCCCTCCCACGTCCCTCCAACCGTACCGTACGTGTCCCTGGAAAAAAAAAAAAAAAAAATGATTGAGAGAGAGCGAGAGCGAGAGAGAGAGAGAGAGAGAGAGAGAGAGATCGCGCTTGAATGGCAGCGTGTGTGTGTGTGTTGACCGATAATCTTTGGAAATATATCAGAGATGCATCAAACTGGTGCGAGACGAATAGAGGAGCACGACAACTTGAAACGAAAACCAGAGAGAAGTTGGTTTTTGAATTTTCTATATGAAGGATTGTTAACCAGAATGCAGAGATTGTAAGCGGTGATAGCTACACGCTAGAGAATGATCACGAAATAGTGTAAGAAAAAGAGATACATCAAGATCTCGACAATGACATGGTCAAGAGTCAAAAATCATAAAAACAAAAAAAAGCACAAAAGCGCTCAAACGCCCGCGCGCCGCACCGCGTAGCGCACAGGGTTGGCTGGCAGGGAGCAAACGGAGACGGCGATGGATGATGCTTTCATGTCGAATGAACATACGTGCTCGCACGGATGCTCAACATGGGCGCACACTCGGTCACATGGGCCTGATGATGCCGATGATGCCACTTTGCATAGTGCTCACCTTGCTATGGAAGGAGCAATGTGAGGCATAGCCCTTCAGAGAAGAAGAAGGGTCGACGTGGGGGTTTCGTCATGAGAGGTGCCAGAGGGCGGCTGTAAGAAGGAAATAAGAAAGATGCACGACTGAATTGCAGCTCGCGTCCTCTGTGGACGCGCGGTTCAACTGGCGGCAACGCCAGCGACAATAACAAAACATTGGATATGACATGTTCACATTCACAGAGACAGATGAATAGCAGGCCGGGGTCACAGATAGAGGTCAACTCCACCCCCTCCTTGCACACAAACACATGTAGTCACCATATAGAGCACAATTAGGAACAGAAAATACGGTGATGGTACGACAGTCAAGCTGAACACTATCCCAGATAGGTTATTAGACGTGGCTGACGGGGAGAGGCTCGGCGGCCGGCGGCATGGTGCCCGGCTGTGTGTAGTAGGCATGCGTGCGCGCATCGCTAAAGGCAGCCGGGTGCTTGGCCACCCGCGTAATGTGCTCGGCGTGGAAAAAGTCAAAGGCCCAGGAGCCCACAAAGAACAGGAAGAAGAGCGTCATCAAAAACTGTCACCAGGCGCGCACACAATGAGAACACGAGCCCCGGTTAAAAAAAAAAAAAAAAAATCCCTAATTGCCTTTTGCCAACGTGCCATGAAGCGACATAGGGCGCACATACCTCCGACACGGCGCGCAGCTCATTGAACGCAATATCATCGCGATAGTCAAAGTTGTCGCGCTCCTCGTCGTAGTGCCATTCACCCACCGCATAGCCAATGGGCAGGAAGATCAAAAAGAAAATCTGAGCACGTTGGCGTGCCATGGTACATGAGCGCGTGCACATTAGGCCAGGTCAACTGCCTCCGGAAGCATGGCCAGGCTTTGTGAAAAACATACCCAGGTCAGCACCAGCAGGATGTACTTGACCACTTGGGAGCCGCGCGCATAATAACCTAGTGAAAAAGCAGGTCACCGACAGGTGAGCGGCCATAGCACGTCTTGTTCAAATGACGACAGAGCCATGGTGCCTGGTCGCTTCCTTCCCAAGCTTTTAGCGTTCCCATCCTGCACAACGTACTCTCAGAGTGCTCGCGGAAGTAGATGGCAAAGAAGATGGTGTTGGCAATCAGCGTAAACACAAAGAAAATGAACGCACTACGGAGACAACCGGCCGTCATCCAAGGCGTGGTCAGATACCAGATATAAGCTCGGCTTATGCAGACCCGCGGCAGGCGCGCACCTGACGCTGTGAGTCGTCTCGTCGTCGCCGTTGTCGAAAATGGAGAGCAACACTAGGAAGACGGCCGCCACGACGACAAAGCCCAGGCCCACTCCAGCAGCACTATCCAAGATTGCATCGCACCGATGAGCAAAACCAAGCCTCACGGCCCACAGCACGCCGCACGCAACACGCAACACGCAACCTAAAGAACGGGAAAATGCCATTGCGTGCGCCTTTTGCTCAACATACTTGCGAGACATTTGCCGCGAGGCGTATTCCCGGAGCCACTTGTACAGCACCACGTGGATGGCAATGTCAAACGCTGCCAAAATCGAAAGACCTACGGCAACATCAGGCAGGGGAGGAACGACGGCTCGTAAGATCTCAATGCCACCGGGCGTTTGCATGAATTTCAGCTGTGCACATGTAGCGGGGCAGGCGGCGCGCACCGGTGATGAATGCGTAGCGCTCAGGAAAGCGGCGCCCTGTATCGGAGATGTAGGGAAAGTCAATGCCACCAAAGTCGCGGTCATACGCGTCAAACATGACAAAGGTGGTAATCAGAGTGGCAATGCCAATGACCACGGCAACGATGGGCACAACCCAAAACTTGCGCGCCGTGTACGCGCCGGGCAAGACCGCCCCATATTCATGTGGTACCTCAACGGCCATGGCTGCTGGTACAAAGGTCAGGCCCAAGAGCTTGGATGCAATGAAGTGGTATGAAGTCGAGAGGCGACGCTGGTGGGCGAGTGACCGGGCCAATCAAGGGCAGCAGCAGCAGGGGCTGAGGGGAGCGGGTGGGCGGGGTGGTGCCAACCACGAGTGAACAACGCAGGAGAACGGGAAAATGCCCCAGACCTCTGGGTCCGGCCAGCAGGTGGAAAACAGGATGAGCAAGGGAGGTGGCAGACGAGGAAAGAGGGCGTGGAGGCGATTTCAGTCGGCAGGTACATGTACCCCTGAGAGCATTGTAGCTCTCACGGGCAATGTCCTGCCACAAGCATAGCGGTGTCGCCACACGCTCAAAATCTGTCCAACGCAACGATCCATTTGCAAGTCTTCATGTCAGCTCGCAAACCGCCACTCTATGCAGCCCACTGCTTTGCGCCTTCACGCCCAAGTCGACACGCGTGCCAACTCGCCAGCTTGTGATCAGGCTTTCCACAGTTTCCGCCGGTGTCAGCCGAAATACGACACACCAGAGAGGCGATGAGCGAGAGAGAGATCTGTAGAGAGAAGGACGATTGAAGTTAGAAGCTCAGAGGTGGAGAGGTGAAGAGCTGGATTTACTGGAAATCAAAAGCAGAAGATAGAGCGTGGCCAGAGAGAAGCAACAAAAGCAGCACTACAAGAGAGAGACCAAGGAAATGGATTAGACTTTCAGAGAGGAAGACGCTGGCGTCCACAAGAGACAAATTCTTGTCCGCAGTTTTTGGCTTGCGATTTCAAAGGAAATAGATGGAAGACAAAAGAAAGAAGACAAAAAGTGTTGCCCACGCAGGACAGCCCAAGAGGCAGCGCCGGGTAGAGGGCGGTGCTCGTACCTCGCAGGGCCGAGTGCGCGTAAGACGATGAATCTGGTTGCTGTGGTGGTGATGAGGATGACCGATGAAGCACAAGCAAAAAGAAGACGAGGTCCAGCGGCTGGACGATTGGGCGAAATGTGACAGACAGCAAGTCGCTTGCGCATGCGTCAGCCCATGCGCCAACGGCTCCAGCGCACGCACAGCAAACACATGCCCTGATAGAATAAAGAGGTGCACGCGAGGGAAGCTCTTCGCCTTTCAATGCAACACAATTATCATTATTAGTAAACAATCGGAGCCATCAAGGGCTCAAAGGTACCTGTCTACTTCTACATGCTGCACTGCCATTGGGGAAGATGCTGCATGCACCCTGACTTTGGCTTTTAAAAGGGAAGAAGTTTCTCTTGGTGCAAAGACGTGTGTCGCTTGGATTGAGTAGAGCGAGTCCGCGTAGCGGAACGTTAAGGAAAACCCAAAGAAAAAAAAGAGAGAGACTGGACAAGAAACAACATTCCCTGAAGACAGCAGAGCAGTATGCGAGGGGACAAGACGAAGCTGGTCGAGGGAGCATGTGATGGCTCGGTTATGCTTTCGGCTTGCTGGTGGCTGCCTTGTTGTCCTCCTCGTCCTCGTCCTTGTGCGCAGCCTCCACCGAGGCCACACCTCGGGCAGCCTGGCGAACGGCTTCCTCCTCGGCAGCCAGACGCTTCATCACCTTCTCGTTGCCCTCCAGGGAAATGGGATAAAGCCCTTGCTGGATGCCCTGCAGGAACACATGAAAACATAGCCCAAACCAGAACGTCGCGACGACCCGACAACCACCAAGCATGCCATGCATGAGCCAACAGCAAAGCCAAGAGCAGCAATAATGGTAAAAATCGGGGCGCTGCAAATAAGGCACCCACGTTAAATTCGAGGCACTTGGAGGGAACGTTCGGATACCGCTTCTGGGCAAAAGTCATGAGTCGCTTGATACCCTGCAGAGAAGAAATCGGGGTTCAGACATGGTGCGACCGGCCGCGGACAGGTCGTCGACGCCAGATTCGTGGAACCAAGCGATAGAGGCAACAAGAGCGGTACTGACATGGATGTACTTGCGCTGCGTCTCGTCGTTGAGGACGTGGGCGATTTTCTGCGAGAAAATGCGCTCACGACCTGTACGCGAATGGATACCGACATTGGTCACACCAATGGGCCAGGCCGCGTTGCCGATGGCCAGACGCAAATAGGCATCGTTGGCCGAGATGTAGTCGCGATGCAACATGGCCTCGACAATCTCACGCAAGGCAAAGAGGACATCAAAGGAGACTTGCTGTAAACAGGGGCCCGGCACACGTGCATCAGAGTCTTCCAGGACGCCGGCAGCCTGGGCCAAGTGGGCCAAGGGTCCCATCGCCTTTTGCGCAAAAAAAAGGAACACGAACCTTGGTCTTCAACATCTTGAACAAAGGCTTGAGGTAGCCTTCGGTTTGGGTGAAGGTGGCCGTAGCCAGACGGCCCTCGGATGACTGCTTTAGTTCATCATCACGGTGCTCCAGGTCGGAACCCCACTGCGTCAACATGTGGCTGCATTCCATCGAGGCAAAATGACATCAGTTTACTTCGAGGCCTGGTTGGGAGCAAGACGATCGGGAATACTGTTTTTCGGCCTCCACAGTTTGGGGGGTGGAGGAGAGACACAGAGACACAGAGACACAGACAGGCAGACACACACACGCACACACACGCACACGCACGCACACAGAGAAGGAGAGAGACAACAATTATAGAGCATACCGCAGAAATCGTCGACATAGGACGGCGTCCTTGCTATCATCCTTGCCCAGCTGTAGGCCAAGCTGTTGCATGTCGCGCCAAGTGTACTTGACCTCGTACTTGGTGGTCGTGCCCTCGCCGTGCTGCAGCATTTCGTTCATGATCATGGCGTCGACGTTCTCGAGCGCTTCCTTCAGTTCGTTGCGCTGTCGCTCCGGGTTCTTTTCGCCTTCTTCCAACTCCAACTCTTGCAGACGACGACGGGTATCAATCAAGTCCTGGAAGAAAATTGGTGCCAGCGACTGAGTGCCGGTAACAGAGTCGCTCGTCCTTCGCTAGCGGAGAAACGGCTCTTTCCCTCGTAAACGCAAACGATCATCGACACGGTACGGGTTCGGTGAGTGTCACGACAAACGCACCTCGCCAAAAAGCATGATGGGCGCGTTTAGCGCTCGCAGGCGTCTACGCTCCGAGCCACCAAGTTTGACACCAAGGCGAAACATCGTGAACATGGATATAACCGCTCTTCAGGTTGAAGGAGTTGCCTTCACTCGTGCGCCTCGCTCCCAAAGTCGACCGACAACGATACCCACCGGTAAACTTCAGCTTTTGGAATATCAGGCAGCTCGTCATCCTCAAAGTCGTTGGCGCTGATGGGCATGGACACAAAATCACCGCTGCGACGACGTATTTGCTCAGTGGTGTGGCTGGAAGCTGGACGCTTCTCACTCATGCGTTGCAGCTCTGCACGCTTAAAGTATTTGCGATCCTACCGTACAGCCGCACGCGGTCGCATCGTCGGTGTGCACCGCTTGTCACACGGCCAGAGCATGGGAATCAAGGCCAGAGACATACCTCGGTGATGAGGTTGGCCTTTTGCAAGTCCTCGCGCTTGCGCGAGATCTCGGCGCGAACACTGCCCAACAAATCCTCCATGTTGTGTGTTCAAGAGGAAGCAAAGTTACGCCGGCAACATAACCCCTTGATCAGCCACCCCCGCTCAAAAAAAAAAAAAAAAAAAAAAAAAAAAAAAAAAAAAAAACACTCCAGTTCCTCTCTCCCACGGTCGACCCAAGTCAAACCCCGGATCACAAAGAGAAAAAAAAAGGCCTCGCTCCCCTGCCCTTTCCTCGCGTTTACACGTACCGTGACGCAGACAATCAAAGCACACCAGCCCGAAAACGGAGTGGTAGAGTTCTTCCGAGCAAGACCTCGCTCACGTCGCCCGCAGTCGTCGTCGTCGCGAAAATGCCGCGTATGTGATAGTGTGGACTTTGTTTCACTTTCAAGTCTTGTGTGCTCTCCTCGAATTTCAACAACTATTTTAATTTGAGGGATAAATGAAGGCTCTGCCTTGGACGCGTGCTCTGGCTGGCTCGGGCGATCAACCACTGGATGGATGAATGACCGAAATGACCCCAGGAACAAGTCACAACCCTACACCTTTGGGAGTCAGCGCGCACGCACGCACACACACGCGCAAATATGCAGACTCTAGTTTTTGCGGAGGCGATGAATCAGCTGGAGAATAGCTTTGCCATCGGGAACCTCGCTGGCACGGCTCTGGGCACTCTCCTCCACCTTGTCTTGCCCCAAGAGCTGCACCAAGTAGATGAGTGCTGGGGCCGGAGTGGCGTCAAAGGCGGTCAACACGTTGCAAACATAGTCTGCGCCGCCGCCCCCCACAGGCACGTGTCAAGGTGAGACACACCACAAATGGATAGAGGATGCATAGGAACGATCGGGGAGCCGAGCTTACCAAAGTCTGCAGCCAGCTGCTTGCGCCCATCAGCCGGCACGCCGTTGGGGAGAAGAAATGAAGCCTCCACTACCACGTTACAAATGCGGCGCGCCAGTGCGTCCACCCAACGATCATCAACCTCAGTCGCCCCTTCCACGTGGAAGATATCCAGCGTACAGCAGTCCATCAGAGCCTTCACGCCCGGCATCTACCACCACCATCGCCACACCACGGTGAACAAACCCGGGGTGAGAATGGGCAAGGCAGGGCCTAAGAGAATAAGCACACATCACACGCTTTGATGGCATCCAACAAGGCCTTGAGCCAGCCACCGATAACGACACCAACCTCAAAGTGGGGCTCCATGAGCTGCGGCATTTGCAGGATGATCTCGCCAATCTAATACAAAAGATGTGGAGTGAACGGCCGGGCGACCTTGCTCGAGTGGTGAAAGCGCAGGCAAGCCATCCAGGAGCACCATGCATGCCATGCCAAACCTGGCTAATGCGGGGCGTGGGAAGAGCGGCTTGCTTTGGATCATCGAGTCGGATCGTAGTCCAATTCTGTGTACGGATCCCGAGGACGGGCCAAGCGAACAAGAGGGCAAATGAGCTGATGGCTCCCAGGCCAAGCATGGTGGGTGGCGCTTTGAACCAAGAACAACGTACGCCCTGGGTAGCGTAGGCCTTCAAGTCGCTCTGCAGCGGCGCAACGGCATAATCAAGTGCAAATCGGTGCATGCGGTTGGACAGCGGCGTCATTCGCGCGACTGCCTCCCCGAGAATGGGCTCATCTACCAAACAACAAAGAGGCATGGACCAAAACATTTGACGTGAAACGTGGCGCTCTTTAATACAACCAGGCCAACAAAGCCGGGACGAAAGAGCAAAACGAACTCTTGTAAAGTTTGTTCTTGAGCACATCCATCTGGCGCTGCACCTCGCGGGTTTTGCCCAGCAGCGTGTCGGGAGCCTGGTGTTTGTGTTCCATTGTACCGGCCGCAGCCGCTTCTACCAAAACAAAAAGGGAGAAGAGGAGGCATGACGGTGCATGGAAACAACCTGGCGCCGGCGCAAGCCCACCCAAAGCGCGCTTGGTACACGCACTGGCAGCTGTCTGTTCGGCCGCAGACACGGCGCTGGCGGCTACGGTCGAGAGTTTGGGCTCGAGTCCTTGCACGGCAGCCACGCAATCACCTAGCAACCAGCAACACCCGATGGTTCACGCGAATAGGTCAGAGTCCACAGAGAGGAAACTCCCACTCGCTAGCAGATGGCGCATACCGAGATGCTGGACGAGACTAAACGCGTAGTGAAAGTCCTCGCTGCGCACCACGCTCTTGCCCGAGGTGGCTACAAGGATACAATAATCACGACGCACGATACCAGGCCGGGTAAGCAGGAAACAAATTGGCGCAGCACAGGCAGCCACGGCAAAGTTAGACAACCTGGTAGCTCGGGCAGCACGTTGGCTTTATCGAGCATGACACTCGTTTCCTGACTCCAAGTATCCAACACTGCAGCGATGGCTTGGAGCAGCGCCTAAGCCCGCGCAACGCAAACGTGAGACGTGTCTGTGCTGCTCATCCAAAAGGTTCACATGGACCCAGAGAAGCCACTGCTGTTTGATGACGTACTGGCAAGCAAGTGCGCTCGTCGAGCTGTTGCATGACTGTCAGCGCAAGTGGGACAAAACGCTCCCACCGCGCGATAAAGTCACCACAGCGCGCGCGCAGGCGTTCATTTAGATCTGCAGCCTTTGATTCGGGCTCCTCTACTAGATCGGTTGCCTCGCCGGCATCCGCATCTGCATCTGCGGCTTGTTCGTCATCAGTACCGGTGGCATTGGACGCCAGCAGCAACTTGGCCAGGTCTGCCTGCATGTAGGAGCTAAACCCGTCCTGGTAGGTGCCAATGGTTTGCAAAACAGGACGCAACGATGGCCAGGACACGGCGCGATGCTCCAATTGGCGCCGAGCGTGCTGACGCACACGCGCCACCTCGGCGAGCCGGAACGGGCCTGTACAGAGGTTGGGGCAAATGTGTAAGCATGTTTTTGTCGGCATCGCTACAAGATGTGGACACAGTCAACACTAACCAGGGGCGCTGTCGACGAGCTCGCTGAACGTGGCCTTCATGCTCGGCTGAAGTTGGGCCAGAGCCTCGGAGTAGGCCATGGAGACGCGTTCTTCGGGGCGCTCAGTGCGGAAGACTGTTCGCACAAACTCGACCTGGCAAAAAATCGAGTGAGCTCAATGGACGGGCGCAGGCAGCAGCCACCAGCGGAGATGCAGAAACGCACGTCGTTGTGAAAGTTGGCACACAGCTCATCGATCATGGCCTGGATCGCACCACCAGGACCCTCGGCGGTGCGCAGGGTTGTCCATTGGGTTTGCACGCCATCCTCGATGGCTTTCTGAAAAGCCGACTCGGCATCATCCTGCAAAGCCATGTCCTGAAAGAGCGTGACGGTGGCAGCCGCCGCCGCTGGATAACGAGAGCAGGAGGGTCATCAGAAAATTTTGGTTGGATCCAGGACAAAGGCAGGGTGGGGGCGTCAGATTGAGACAAGGAGGAGGGGAGGAACCGATTAATCAGAAGTCTTGGTCCACGATCATCAACGACCTACCAACGTCACGGCGTTGGATGGCTTCAAGCAGGCGGGGTCGGGCGAGAGAACGGAGGCGGGCCGTTAGGGCTTGAAGCTGTTGTTGTTGAAGCTCGTGATCGCCCAAGTCGGAGTCACTGCCCAGCACCAAAACACTGATTGCGAGAGCATGGCCAGGCAACATGAGACGGAGCTGGGTGGGTGACAGTGGCTTGCCATGGTCGGATGAAAAAAGGATCGCCTCGGCGGGTGTGAGACCAGGCAGCGGCGAGCGAGAGTTTGGTTCACACCTGCGTTGAAGGCTGAGAAGGGCGCTGGCAACTTCCTGCACATCTGTCGACTCGAGCCTAAAACCCACCACAACCAGTTTTAGTCCTACTAAGAGATGATGGGTGATGAGGTGAGGGCATCAGGGTGGCCGGGGGAGGGCGCATACGCTGCATCGATTTGAGTGGCCAGGTTGGATAGGTTCTGCGCCTCTTGAACGGCTGTGGCGGTCACGGCCATGCGAGTCTTGACCGTATCCAGCTGCAGGAGTGACGCCATCGTTTCGGCCGTGTTCTTTGGTTTTGGCCGTGTGGGTCATTGATGAGGCAGGCAGATGAAACTGAGTCATTGGCGCGGGTAGGGGGGGAGGGGCACCTTTTAGGGCGCAACGAGTGAGAACTCGAGAGAGGTGGACGTTTACCTGTTCAACGTTTTCAAGATCGCGACCGACGGCCTGCATGCTGCTTTTGAGCGACTGGACCTCATGATGGACGACTTCGACCGAACGCGCAATGCTGTGCGGCGGAAGGGGAAAAAAAAGAAAAGAAAAGAAAAAAGCGAGGGCAGTGAGGGCTAGCATATTGGCTCGGGTTGGTTCGGGGCGACGCAGGTCCACTACGAACCCAGGCAGATCGCGCACGAGATCTTGACAGATGCGTTCGAGTTCCGCATTGATCTTGTGCACAAACGTCTGGAGCTTGCGAATCAGCTCGTTGCTTTTCTGAAAAGGGAAAGGTTGAATGTGCGGCAAAGACG